ATTCATTACTCATAAATTCTATAAAACTTCAGCTCTTTGCTGTTCCCTTTGTGTTCAGATGTGTGCTATGCAGCATCTACTATAGATTCTGAATTATTGAAGACTCAGTGATAGCAAAGCCCAGACATTTGCTATTTTCAACATACAATCATGGAAAATATTGATTCTGCTCCACTCTAATACCATATCTGTGATGGTACCCAGAGTGACTGCTATTAATACAGTGCATCATTTTGCTCATTTTGAAACAAGCGTCTCTTACACATCAGAGTAGTGTTTAAAGCAGATTCTCCCTTCCTAAGTTTTCCCAGCCCACAATTCTTCTGTCAGACAACTCGTGTCTGCGTGGTGCTGGGTAGGCACTGAGGTGCAGGGCATCCACTGCAGGGAATGACATCCTTTGCCCTATGTATCTCAACAGCAGCAAGAAGGATCCCAAATTCCTGGCCCTTTGGCCAGCACTGATACTGAGCTCCCTGATGGCTTTTTGACATTTCTGACAACAACAAAACAAAAGGACTGAAAAAGTTGTAGCCACTTTCCTGAAGTAGCTGTGTTAGACTCTGGTCCAGAGAAGTCATTTACTGCACATTAAGGAGGGACTGAGAACACATCAGGATGCAAAGATCTGCGTCTGGAATCAAGTGTTTGCAGAGGTGTGAAAGTGCCGAATAGAAGCAACCCTGGAAGCTATGAGTAGGTAGAAAATGTGGAGTGTTGCTTACTAACTCTTCTAAATTATCTCATTTTCAGGGTAACAGCATACTTTGCTAAATAACACGTTTCTGCTTTCCTTGTCTAACGAATCTTTTTAAACATTGCTCTTTTGCACTGTTTTCTTCCTTAGCATTTGCTCATCAGGCAGCCCAGGGCAGGGGATGGGCTCTGAGCACCTGATGATGAGCTGTGGGTGTATTTGCTCACTGCAGGGATGGCACCAGTTGGCCTCTACAGGTCCCTTCCAACTCAAACCATTCCGTGATGATACAGATGCAGCTGCACACATGTTGCTGCCCTGCCTGGGGGACAGGAAACTCTCTGTAAAGGAAGGTGATGGCAGGACAAGGGGAAATGATTTTAAGTTGAAGGAGGAGAGATTTAGGTTGGATGTCAGGGGGAAGTTCTTTGCTATGAGAGTGGTGAGGTGCTGGAACAGCTGCCCAGAGAGGCTGTGGATGCCCCGTCCATCCCTGGAGGTGTTCAAAGCCAGGTTGGATGGGGCCCTGGGCAGCCTGGGCTGGTATTAAGTGTGGAGGTTGGTGGCCCTGCCTGCAGCAGGGGGTTGGAGCTTCATGATCCTTGAGGTCCCTTCCAAGCCATTCTATGACTCTATGATATGATTCTATGAAAGCAAGCAGGGCAAGTGGAGTGTGGGAATGCAAAGAAGTGTTCGGTTGCCCCCTGCGCAGGTGCCTATGTTAATGCAATTAAGAGTTAAATGTTAATAGCAGGATTTCAGCTTGGAGGTGACCAGAAGCCCAGGGCTGTGGGGAAGGGGAGGCACAATGAGCCATGTGCTGCTGCTTCACTGCTCAGAGGCTGCTCCCTGCAGTCTCTCCTACATCGTAGTGACTCACAGTCACTCGCAACCTGCAGTGCTGTGCTGCTGCCCTGAGGCTGGATCCCCATGTGGAACGGCTGCTTCCCAGCATAGGAACTCTTCTCCATCCCACCTTGTGGGCACACAGGTGAGGAAACGCCTCCTGGCTTCTGCAGGCCTTCCTGGAACTTCACAGGTCTCTCACTGTGCAATTACAGGAGGGTTTTAGTCTGATTATACATGAAAAACTCCTCTCTATAAAGAAATTCAAAGATCAGAGGCGTTTTCTTTCAAGTATTGCACTGCAATTGGAACACTCCTGCTGCTCAGTACAAAACGTTTCTGCAAGGCTCTATCAAACCCTTATTTTATATTTCCATTGTTAGGTTTTATTTTCACCTTTTCTCTATTTAAATATTAAATTTGAGCAATTCAATTCTATCCATTTTTTCACTGAAATCCACCACAGAAATTTTAATTGCAGCCGGAGCAGAATGCGCAGTCACAAAGCCACAGTGATGGAGAGCCTTAGCAGGACTACAGGCTTCAAAACCAAACACAAATAAATGACATTTTTGTCCTTCAGACCTGGGGAAACGTGAATGCAAATTCTATAGTCTTATTTTTTTCCTGATCCCCGCTATTCTCTAATCTTATCAAATATATATTCCTGTATTCCAAGTCAGTCTGATCGAGCAGCTTGCTGTAAACAAGCAGCATTAGATTCTGTCGAGCACATTTCCCTCACAAATCCAATTTCCCAATCTCTCGCTGGTGACGCTTTAGCCATTCCTCAGTACATAAAGTGCTCTCTGCATATTGTATTGGCCATGCTTTGTAGCAACATGCAGCACAAGGCCATCGTGCTGTGTGCTGCCTCTCTTTGGCAGCCATCCTCAATGCGCCCTGCTTTTGCCGTGTTCCTGTTTTCCCCTTCCAAGAGAGGTGAGGAGCACTGCTCAGCATCAGCCCAGCACCCAGCACCTGCCCAGCCACAGCGTGCCCAATCCCACTGCTTGGCTGTGAATGGAGGTGCCTCGAGGTTCATAAATCTGTATGCAGCGCTATGGGTTCTCTAACAGCAATTCGTTTTAATTACGTGAGACATAAAAAGACCACCTACAGATGAGACAATACAGCCGTAAGATTCTCAAGGTTACTTTGGGGAATACTTCATAACTGAAGTATGTTTTCCCCTAGGAATTACGCTACCATTTGATTTAATTTTTAATTTTTACATTTTAATCAAAAATAGATCAAATGGCGGTGTTCCCTCCTGGGAAACATACTTCAGATGCGAAGCAGTCCATGTTCCTTTTAAATATGTAAAGCTGCCATTTATGTATAACTCATGAATGACACCCTGTGTTGCAAGCAAATATCATGCGGTGATTTCTATATTGTTTCAGTAACAAGGCTGTAATCACACACACATATCGCCGTGCCCAATCCAACCAAGCAGATGGCATTCAAAGGAGGAACTTCAGAAGCTCACACGCTTCACTCCAGGAGCCAACAAAGAGCTGCCGCACGGTGAGCGTGTGGGCACTGGCACAGCTGTGTCCCATGGGCAGTGGCACTGCGTGGAGCTGCCCGCTTGGGATCCTAAAGGCTGCTCCTTGGAAACTCCCACTGAGATGCAGGGTGTGTTGTATGACAGGGAGGGGCGTAGATGTGGTTTAGTGGGGGAAAAAATGGATGGTAGGTAGATGGTTGGGCTGGATGTCTTGGAGCAGCCTTGGTGTTTGTATGAATGGAGAGCAGTGCTTTCCGATCTGATCGCAGCCTGTGGGCCTTAATGTCTCATAGTGGTGGAAGGCACATCTGTTTTCTGAAGCTGGGAGCAGGACCTGTTATTTGACAGCAGGTGAGGTTCAGATAAACTAACACCTATTGGATCTTCGTGGGATTCTTTCTATTGTTTTTCTGTTGAAAAAGAAAGTAGTGTCCCATGTTTTTTTCTCGCTTGTTCAAATGTAGTTGCCTTGAATCACAGAACCATGGAATGGCCTGGGTTGGAAAGGACCACAATGATCATCTCGTTTCAACCCCCCTGCTATGTGCTATGGGCCGCCAACCAGCAGACCAGGCTGCTCAGAGCCACATCCAGCCTGGATGGGAGTTTGATGTGTGAGAGAATCTCGAGGTGTAACTCTTAATTTTATAATTACTGACAGTAATCAAAGCCAAATAGCATTCTTACTGTGTGACTTTTGTCTGCCAATGCAGGCTGTCACATTGTGCTCTCAGGATCCACTGTATGATGATTTCAGGGGAGATGCCACAGTTTGAATACGTATACAGCTTCCCCAATTAACTTTGACACGAACACCATTCATTTTAAATATCATTTTCAATGTATGTGTTGCACACATTTGTGTCCGTCCTAGTCCTGTGCAGACTGCCTGCAAGCTCCACACGTACTAAACCAAAAGCTTTGGTTTCTTCCTCTTTGATGATGAAGTCAATGTGTAGTTACCAGCAAACAAACAATTATGTGAACGCTGAAGTCTAAAGCAACTGAACTCAGTACATAAATTTTACATAGCAAGGATAACACTTTTATTATTTTCATCAATAATACATTCACCCTATCAACTTCACATTTGCTCTTGCACTTTCTTACGAGGCTTAATTCTCTCATCTTAAATGTTCCATCTGCTTATCTTTATACAAAATGTATGTACAGCCAAATCGTGTTCATCTCTAAGCTGCTGGAGCCATTATTCTCTCAATGCATGTAGGCATAGGTGACGAAATTAGATGGAAATCAAAGAAGTTCTGCACTGTCCTCTCCTTGCTTACAATGTCGGAGCTCCTGGGCACAGCTGTTACCTTCCCAGGAGTGTTGGGCTGTGCTGTGTGACCAAGGTTACACTTTGGGCAGTCCTTGTCCATGGAGGTGTTCAGAGCTGCAGGGATGTGGCACTGAGGAACGTGGGTAGTGGGCATGGGAGGGTTGGGCTGGGGGGTCTCAGAGCTGCAGCGCTGCCCAGCATGCAGCACTGGCTGAGGGAACTTGGCTTTGGAACCACGCAGCTATGGAGCAGAGTGATAATCTATATAAAGCAGTGAGATCCAAGGAGGTCAGAGCTTAGATTCCCAAGGCAGTTTGACACCTCCATTTCTGTCTAAATCTGCAGGAAGGTAGGTCTGATGCTAAGGTGCTCCAATTAGGTGAGGAAAAACAAATTCTGGAAAGGCAGGTGGAGATGAGCTGAGAAATGTGGATGTTTAACTCCCCATTAAGCCAAACCTGCAGAGAAATTATGCTGTTTCAAAGTATCGATTCTGTGTAACATTCATGTTTTTGGGCAGCGAGGGGAAGAACAGGGTGGGCTACGTTGTACAAATGAAGCTACATAGTATACAAACCCCAAACCCTTTTATTTACCTTGGTGCCTCGGTGCCTGCAGAACGCAGTTCAATTATTAATGGCAGAACAAAACCAGACAGTTCGTACTGTAGCCAAAGGTGGGTTTAATGCTTCTGCTTTTGCAACAACTTATAAAATACAAAGTTAAAAATATTGTATCATTTTCATCTGAATTAAAAACTGATTGTATGCTTCACTATATACACCTAAATAAAGTATATTTTAGGTTATTTTGTGTACAAACCACAGCATTAAGAAAGATAAAGAATCGTATTTATCAACAAACCAAAATAGCATAGTTGTACAAGGTGAAGAAAAGTCCTACAAAAGTAGTGCTGAGGTTCTGCTGCAGATCTGACACCCATCTGCTTTAAGGGAACATTCACCATCCCCAGCTGCACGGCCCTCAGCTGCACCTGCTGCAGCACTCCATGATTCTGCCTGAGCAAATCTTGAGGCAGATTGCAAATACAGCACGTCTATTGAATCAAACAGCAAGTCTTCACTATGCTGAACTATTTCAGCTGCAACTCATTTGTGCCATGGCTGATGTATAAATGCATCTAGTCCATTACAAGGCATGGGGCAAGCAATCACATCCTTCCATAGGATTCACTGTGAAGTTTGTGCAGAAAGTGGTTTCTTGTTGGTTTATGTTTTAACTCCAAGCCAACTCGAGGACTACCAAAAAGGAGGGAGCTGCTATCAAAACTGGACAGAGTATCTCTACTCTCTGCTAATCAAGCAGGAGCACACACACACCTGAACTGCAGTCACACTAGAAATGCTTCTTAAATAGTGACGAAGCCAACGTTTACTTAAGAAGGAAAACTCAGGTATGACGCTCTCCTGATGCCCAATACGTTTTTGTATTAAGTATGAAGGCAAAAATACTGCTGGAAACTATCAGTAGTTCAGTAATTGTGATTTGTGGTGGTCAAGTCTGAGCTGTGAGATAAAAAAAAGGGTTTCCCAGAACAAAACATGTTATCAAATACTGTTCTCCCTGTTGTAAGAAGTGTTCCCATTCAATGCCTGTCCTTTTCTCAGCCTTTCCCCACCTGCTGTTGGGCACACAGATGCCGGCTGCTCCCAGCCCATCCAGCCCTCTTATGGCCATAGAATTGCTCTGACATACCCTGTATTGTGTTCCTGGGGAATGCAAAAGGCTGCAGTTAGATAAAGACCCGACCTGGGACAATTTTACTCCTGTTTCTATAGCATTTAGATATTTGAAGTATACACACGAATAACAGAACTACTCATCAATTAGATCTGATACAAAATGCAGCGCTACATTTTGAACAGTGCAAAGAAGGTAACCGTGTTCACACTGCAGGTTAAAAATAGTACAAAGTTCTCCTATTTTCTTGAGCTGTAGAGATGCAGTAATCTGCAAGGACAGAGCTGAGAGTCACTGTGGACAGTGTAATAAAATACCTGCACAGTGCACAGTAATGATGAGAAGACTGATAGGAGAAAATTACATTAAAATCGAACAGAGTATGACTTCATCAGGGCTCTGTAATGCAGCCAGGAGGAACTATGACCAATCCTGTGAGTTATGTATGGTGGCACCTTACAACAACCAAGTAGTGGTTACTCTGAAAGGAGAAGGATTGGAAAGAGCATGATAGGAGCTACATGGATTGTAAAGACTTCTCATTCTGACTGCATTCTATTGACTAAAATACAGTCAGGTTTTCAGCTAACAGAAGAAATATATGCACTGCTATCTATTTAAATGGGAAATCATCCTCTCGGTCTGATGGTTCATAGTGTATTGCCTGTGCATTAAAAGCATTATGGTGCTGCTTTGGTCCAATATATTCTAGCAGAAAACTTCTCCATGAACAAGTCCAAGTGTCATTTCTCTTCTTAAGACACCTTAAATTTTGACTGCATACTGTTCTGCTAACAGCTGCTTTCAAGCATTGAACTCAGTGACACCCAATAAGTTCTGAGTCATTTTGCAGTGACTAAACTTTTAGATACCTTTCAGCCTTCCACATTCAAAGTAACTATTTCAGTTTTTACAGCACAGAAACTGAAGCTCAGCCATCTTTTCTCTTGGCTGACATGGCTAAAAAACAATTGGAAACTCTTGTAAAAATGAACTGCCCACAAAATACAGCCTAGCTACCCAGTAACAAATATGCAGTTGCAGAGCAAACAGTGTGTTTAGAAACCAGTTTACTTTACTATTTTGCACTAGTTGATAAACTCTATTATAAGGATATGGGAATTTGCTCATGCACTGCTATCATTTCAACTGAGCATATGTTCCTTTCTAGCTTGAATAGACACTATTGCTTGTATCAACCTGTACTGGGAGCTAGAGAGCTCAAGTTGAATTTCTTACCTTCAAAGTAACACAACCATTGTGATTCTCTCAGTGATCTGATCTTTGAGCAGACTGTATGTCACTGAAGGAAACTGTGGGGTGTTTGAAACAACTGGAAGAACCACAGAATCACAGGGGTCAGGGAACCTCCGGAGATCATCCAGTCCAATCCCACTTTGCAATGATTCATTTCCAAGGGATCTAAAATTCGTATGGGATTGGAGGATATCTATTCTTTCCTAACTAAACTTTCTGGGTGTCAGTTTAGTGCAGCTCTGCTTAATAAACTTATCTCCCCACCTGTCACTTAACTGAATTCAGTATTCATATGATATTCATCTACTTAGGAAGAATATCTTGTTAATAAAAGTCAACTCAGTGCTCACACTACAGCTACAGCTCCACACACGATATGGGAAGTGTTCTAGGACTATGATAAGATTTCTCTAAGAATTTTACGTTGTGATAAACACCACTGGGATAGTGACCTTTAAAGACTTGTTATGAGACTTTTGCAACTCCAGAGCTACCATTTTAATCTACACTGAGAACTGCCCTCAGAGCAGGAGAGGCTGGAAGCTGTTCTGCCTGCCTTGCTGCTGGTGGGCTGAACCCTGCCCAAAGGCTCCATGGAAACAGGGGACACTTGTCCTGTCAGTGGAGATTGCTTTCTTCCTGAGCTTTGGCAGGTCACAGCAATTTCTATCCAATGCATAAGGTAAGCATACTGCTATTCTGTTCTGGACAGCAGCCAGCTCCATTCCAGAGCAGCCACTGAAGTGTCACATCCAAATAACACAACTTGGATGCCTTAAAAGTTTAAAACCTGCAGGTGTTCAAAAATTACATAGGATTGCAGACTGCCCAAATGTTGATTAAATTATTTGTGGCAAGCCAATAAGATCAAGTTGGGTAACAAGCTGAAACAGACCTGTTCTAGTATCACAACAGTTGGAAAGAAAGGAATCCCAGAGCATCAGATGGTATCTTCAGCAATTTGAGAGGACTGCGTAGATCTGAAGCACCGCTCACCTTTGCATCATAATGTTGTTCAAATAACACTGATTTTTTTCTTTCAGATAGTTATCTGTCACATTCACAAACTGTGCTTCTTGTAAATCGAGTTAGAGTTTGACATGTAGAAAAGATACCTGAAATGGATGCATATTCTGGATTTTACAACAAAATAAGTTTCAGTAGGGTTTTCACTGGCCTTTACACAGCTGTCAAGCTGATCAGCTCTCTATCTAGAGCTGAAGAGTCCTCCCATTTCTTCCTGCTTATGTACAATTGAGCCAAAAGGCAGGCCCAGTACCAATGTGAACACAAGGACAACCTTCATGAGCATCAGAGAAAGTGCCTAAGTGAGACAGTGAAAAACCTTTTGTCAGCATGGCCTTTGGTCCAGTGCCAGGTGAAGACTGGGCCAAAGGCCAAATCAGCTTAACTGCTCCAAAAAGTTAAATCAAAAACATATTCTTTCATACATGTGAGATACCTTAAGTACAAAGGCATTTTTTCAAGTGTAAAAACAGTGGCATCCAACTGCGTGATGGAGGAGTAACGCATAGAGCAGCATGCTGAATGTTTGCCACGAGTGAACGTACTCCAGCTGTACGCTGCTCACAGGTGCATTTCCAGACTCCAACAGGGGAAGCAGCACTGCTTATCTGCAGTCTGTCGATCTCTAGCAGCCCAGGATGTGACTGAAGTGTCCCTGAAATGACAAAATGGTATGTGACAAGATTATCAAAACCTGAAGCTTTTTCTCAGTATCCATTTTCAAATGTGACTGTAAAAGAAATGGACAGTTCTGCTGACAGCACCTCAAATGCTCTCTGCTTTCCCAAACAACTCGTGGACAAAGGTTAAAAACAACTGCAAATTCAGTACTGCTCTCATCTCAAACTGTGGCTTAATGCATTTCTGCTGTCCCTTCTGAAACACATGCAGTGATCGTGTCTACAAAAACAAGCTGCAATGTTGAGAGAGCAAGTCAAGAAGTGATATTCCCTTTGAATACACTTTGAAAATCATAGCATACAGTGTAGAAACAGAGACTTAAATGCTTTCAGGAAAGCTGGTGTGAATGAGGTTCCTCATGCAAACTACAATGCTGAGAAGACTATGCAAGATGAATCGTCTCAGTCCTGCATGCCTGTACTCTGTTTGCCTTACTCCAGGGCTTTTATGTTTTTGAATTTCCCTCTCATCAGTAGCATACAGTTTCTTAGAGAATTTTAACATTATTACTATGAACAAGCATTGCAACATTATTTATTTTGCTACCTGGAGGCTCTTCCCTTAGGGACATCTCAGCTGTTCTGAAGGACTTTCATGATGCATCTTATTCATTGTGACAAGTTCATTTTTCCAAGGTGAAATTTTAATTCTGAAGAAAATTATCAGCTTACTACACATTTTATTCTCAATATAGGCTTTTTATTATTTTAAGAATGAACATATTACTAACATAAGTCCTACTAAATTTATCCGATGTAACCGTGTTATCTATCATGGCATGGCTGCAAATAACTGATGGTCTGAAGGAAACACAACTGACAAATCTGTACAATCACTTCTCCCACAGCTAGAGGAGTTGTGGATGAATTGTGCTGTGGATGCAAGGACACCCACGTGAGCCAGCTTCTATCAGGATGGCTTTATGAGCTCAGCACAGCACGCATTCAGCTGCACTAGAACACAATCCCGGTTGCTCTAGCCCTGCCTTTGTGTCTGGCATTATGTCTAAACTAACAAGCCCTGCTGACTGAAAGCCAGAGTCAAAAAGAATCCCTCCCCTCTGCAAAAGCACACCATGGCTGCAAAAGCAGTCACACACTTCTTTCATCCAGATTGTTCCAGGTCCATGACTCAAATAATGGAGAACTGCATATATATATACACACTAACTTGATTATTCCATCTTGCTCCTTGAACTCTAATTGGTACTTGTCATCACACAACAGACGTCGATAAACTTTGGCACCGCTACAGGGAACATCAAGGAAAGCAGAATCTGAGTCAGTTGCATTTTAGATCAGCCTGCTATGAGCAAAGCAGTTTCTATTTCAACTCATGATATGAGTCTAATTCAGCAAGAAGTCTAGCAAGTAGCTATCCAAGGGTTCCAAATGTTTATAACATCGACTTGAGTCACTATATTGACAGCACAGGACAGTTAAACGGGAAAATTCTTTACTTTTGAGATTCCAGCTCTCCTTGAGTACAGTCAGCAGTTTCCCTCCCTCGGTTCTTACAGCTGAAGTTCAAAAGCATTTAGAAGTCATCCATTACACCCAAATAAATGAATGCTTTTTGAAAAGGTGAATTATATATCCTAAGGCATCCGGGTTCCTAATTATGATTTGAAGGTTGTTACACAGTAAATGCCTTCTCAGCTCCCATAGGCTTAAGAGACTTCTGAAACTTTGGTTGGTCAAGAAGGGAAGATAGAGGTTGGATGTCAGGGGGAAGTTCTTTCCTATGAGAGTGGTGAGGTGCTGGAACAGCTGCCCAGAGAGGCTGTGGATGCCCCATCCATCCCTGGAGGTGTTCAAGGCCAGGTTGGATGGGGCCCTGGGCAGCCTGGGCTGGTATTAAATGTGGAGGTTGGTGGCCCTGCATTGGTGGGGGGTTGGAGCTTCATGATCCTTGAGGTCCCTTCCAACCTGGGCCATTCTGTGATTCTATGAAAATCTGCACAACTGAAACTGGAGGAGCACCATAACCTCCTTCAGTGTTCTCAGCCATTCTCTCTTGAGGCTTGGCCTTTAATGAATAGTAAATCAGAAAGTACTTAAGATAACCATAACCTTTAGTGGGAGATTCCAGCACTACCACTGCAGTGTTCTTCCATATTATGCTGTGCCAAATCCCAGCTGTTGATTACAGCCTACACAAGTAAAAAAGCAGGTTTTACCCAGCTTATTTTCCATATCAGGATGGCCCAGAAGACAGCAATATTCAGCTGTCCAAAGGCTTGCACTGCTGTTCTGAAATGTCAAGCTGCCTGAGCTGAGCTTTGCTGGCTACTAGTTCCTTAGCCAGCTTGTTTAAAGCTGGGTCTAGTATGTTTGCAGTGTAAGATGCTATGCTGTATATCTGCTCTTTGGAAAGGAACTATCGAGTTAGAGGAAACAATAAGAAACAGAATGGGAATCCTGAGTATTTTGTTATGATTCCGTAAATCAAAGAAGACATAATAACAAGGTAGAGGAAGTTGTATGTTACTGTTTGCTTCAGTTACTTCCTAAACTCTGCTTTTTAGTGTGAATGTGAAAAATGTGTTTGCAGTCTCCATATTTTCCAACTGCTGCTGAAAACATATTAGTTTGTGCTCTGCTGGCATACCTCTGAAATGCTAAATCAATCTGCCTTCTTTTATTTACATGCTTTATTCCTGAGAAATGTAATTGTGGTTTTTATTAACTTTATGTTTTATGGATCTAATACTTAAGAACAAGTCTATCTTTTATGCCACAGAAAGAAGGTTAATATACTTACAGATTCTCCAGCAATACATCTTGGGCAAGGCTGGGCAGTACTTCTGCTTCCTTGGTTTTCAAAAATCTAATTAATAAAAACACGTACAGAACCATAAAAACAAACAAACAAACAAAAAACACAACAATTACTTGCAATTTTATTACAAAACTGACTTTAAATGCGTTCTAATAAATAGATGTGTTGACAGCGTAAACATACCATAGAGCTTTGCTTTGTCTTTGTAGCCCAAGGACCACAGCCAGAGGAGACTTTCTGTTTAGAATCCAGCTCCATAGCACAGTCAATGAGGCGAGCATCGACCTCATTTGGAACAGCTTCTAAGTGCTTGCACACTCGCTTCTGAAAGAGTAAAAAGGAATATATGCGTGTCTTTACAAGGCATAGGCCATTGGGTACAAGCCTGCAGGATTTGTTTATGACTGACAGGGATCTTATATTCACTGGGAAGAACTGTCAGTACAGTGAGTTAGTAAATGGCAAGCACAAGGCCAGAGCACAAACACTGCATGGAGCACCGTGCCTGGTGCTGGATGAGCAGGGAGATGTGTGGATCTCACTAAACGTCTCTGAGCCTCAGTTTCAGAAAGTGGGGAGAGAACGCCGGTGGGAAAAGAGGATACGTCACCTTCCATTAGCATCTAATTTCAGATGGGGCTTATCAAAGGAGCAGATCATGGGAAGTTCTTAGAAACGGCTAATTAAATCACGGAAACGGAAGGAAAACCCTGCAGCCAAGTCAGACAGCTATGAAGACATCTTTTGTAATGATTTATTTGTGTCTTTTTCTACAAACTGTCACCTTCTTACAGCTTTCCTCTGCTACCCAATCAGCTTCCTGCTTCTCACCTCAACTGCTACCTGGCGTTGAAGGACTTTTGAATTTCCTGCAAATCGCTCCAACTCTGGAGCACGGGCTGTGTTAAGTGGGGATGCCTTTCTCACAGTTCTTGGCATCCCAGTGCAAGATTGGAGGTCTGCTGAGATAATGCCTCACTGTGCAAAGCATGTCATGAACCCAGAAGGGTAAAGGGCAGCTGTGGGGCAGCTGTGAGGCAGGCACAAATCAGGATCCCTAAGAAGGGAACAGCCCTTGACCTGTGACTGCACTAGGATGCTCCTTGAAACTGTAGCAGCACATTAATAATAATGAGAAATATCAGAACTGATGCAGGCATTTCAGGGTCTGACTGACTGAATCCCAAGGAGATGTACACGCTTTTGAAATAACTTTCCAAACAAAGTTTGTTTAAGGAGTAACAACATTCCATCTCATTTAGGATCTCACAGGTGGGAGAGGTATTGCGACGGAACTGACAGACTACAGAAGCATGGAAACTAAATGGGAAATGTGAATATATTATGTAAAATAAAATGGATCAATACAACAGGAACCTCTGTGGAAAGCAGTTGAAAGGAGCAACTATCAAGGAATACAGGATATTTGGAAGGGAAGTAAATTAAAAAGTGAAATATGTATTGTACTAAGAAAGTGAATAATGTAATAATAAAAAGTCTGAGGAGGTCCTCCGAAGGCAGATTGCCTTCCATTGGGAAAACGTTCTCTTCCCTTTGTTGCAGCAGAACTTGTCCTTTATTAAAAGCTAGAGCGTAGTGCTACAGCAGCAGAGCCGGCACGGTGTGTGAGATGAAGGAACAGAGCAAAAAACGATTCACTGCCACGTATCAGAGGAAATTTGGCTTATTAAAAATAAACTCAAAGCATTGTTTTGGGGGAGTTTAAGACATTTAGCACCAGTGACAGGAATTCAGCACACAGAGCAGCTGGCTGACAATCCTATCACAGCGATGCCAAGACGATCTGTGGGAACTGCTGGCAGAGCTGGCTGCAGGGAAGGCTTCACTCCTGGAATTCTCTCTTAGGAAAGAAACAATCGATACATCAATCCTGCCTGTGAACGGAACGCATTTAGCACAGGGCTCAAAGTGCTTGTGATGAATAAGGATCAATGAGGGAGCTACTCAAAAGGCAACCACGCACTGCGTCAAAATGACTGATTTTGTTAGGGAGAGACCGTGGTACACCTCCAGCTTGAAACAGTTCAAGACAAGCACCAGCAATTCACAGCATGTCCCAGAACAGGCAGAAAACAGGGCTGCTCGCAGAGCAGATGTTCTGTCACTCTCTCTCCCAGCTGGCAAGTCCTGGGAAAACACGTGTGTTCGGTGAAAGGATGAAGGCCTCGCAGCGAAGCTGCTTCTTATGAAAAGTGAAACCAGAAGGGTGCAGAACGCGGCTGGGAGGGCTGTCCCGAGTGGGGAGGGTCCCGAGGGACCACAATTCGGAACGCTGCGCTCCACGCAGCACCGCCTCCAAAGGCCTCCGCGTCCAAACACCGCAAGCGCTACAGCACGGAGCTCCATACTGCAGGACGTCCCTGAAACGCTGCGCCGACGTGCAAAAATCAATCACGCGTCCCTCCGTACGACACACAGCGGGAGCAGAAGAAGCAGCAGGGAATCTTTGCCATCGACAACAGCGTTTAGAACGACCTCTAGGCCGGGGCTCAAAACCCCGAAGGGCAGAACCCCTCCTCGCCGCCGCCAGGGGGCCCTGAGCCCGCCGTGCCCGCCCGGGGCCGCCATCTCCCGCCCGACCCTCGGCACTCACACGCTCCGGTTCTCCCGGCTCCGGTTCCCGCAGCCCCCGCCGCCCCCGCGCCAGCGCCTCCATGGCGGCGGGGCGGCACACGCGGCTCCAGAGCCCCGCCTGGACCCGCTGCCGCTCCGGGCACTGCCGACCTCCCGCACGGGGCGGAGCCGGGGGACGGAGGGCAGCGTGCCCGGGGTTGGGGCGGTGAGCGGAGCTGCCCCGGGGGAGGTCGCTGAGCCGCCGTAGCTCGGAGTATCGCGGAAGGAGCAGAGCGCAGCAAGTTTTATCTGCTGTTATTTCTGCACGTCCTGAGCGATAACGGCGCTGTTGGGCTCCTCCCTACGTCGGGGTGACGGGGATGTGCGGGAATGCAGCGCGGAGCTATGGGGAGTTGGGATGGGTCAGTCTGGAGAAGGACGGAGCGTATAAACAGGAGGGGGAACGGCTGTTTGTGAGGGTGGATAGTGATAGGACATGGGGGAATGGTTTTAAACTGGGACGGGGAAGGTTTAGGTTGGATATTAGGAGGAAGTTTTTCAGCCAGAGGGTGGTGAGGCACTGGAACAGGTTGCCCAAGGAGGCTGTGGATGCCCCATCCCTGCAGGCATTCAAGGCCAGGCTGGATGTGGCTCTGGGCAGCCTGGGCTGCTGGTTGGTGACCTGCACATAGCAGGGGGTTGGAACTGGATGAGCACTGTGGGCCTTTGCAACCCAGGCCATTCTATGATTCTATGACTCTATGATATGATTCTCCTGTACCAGCTATCTCCCACCAAAAGGGAGAAAACAAAACGCACAGGAGGAGGTGTGACCGAGAGAATCCAACAGAGCTCGTCACTCCCTGTTGCTGCATGTCACAGATAATATTAGAGTCTTCCTTTTAGTTTTTTGTGGTTTTTTTTTTTTTTTTTTTTTTTTTTTTGTGGGTCTTGAGACCAGCACAGGCTTAAATCCTCAGTCGGGAACATCTAATACACTGCTTGTCTGTTATGCTCTGCTAAATCAAGCTATTTGCATTGTCAAGCTATCCCTGGCATTCCTTGCAGTGCTTATTCTGCACTAGGGATCCAGTTGTACTTACACTGTATGCTCTGTCACATTCTTTGAGCCTGAGGGTGTACCACAAAAAAATTAATCCACAGATTCTTTTTTTTTTTTCTGTTGTTTGTTTTTGTTTTTAATTTAGCAATTGACATGCCTGATAGAAAAAAAAAAATAAATAACCCTAAACCTGGGTAATCCAGTTTGCACAACATCTGAAGCATAACTCATTGCTGAGTTTGAACCAAGCCCAAATCCATTCACATCAAATCAAATTTATTTAATTATTTCAAAACCACCTTCCAATTCCACCCCCCAGAGCCTGTTTATGTTCCTTGCCAGTAGAGCCAGTGCTGCAGACTGGCTTCCCATTTTACATTCACGTGCTTAGAACAATAGGATACACTATAGTCAAACAAGCATTTTGTGACACATCCATCTAAATCTGCTAGAATACAGCAGGTGAAAGGTCTGGAAATGTCAGCTGCATAACCCTTCCCCTGCTGTCACACCGAGAGTTGCCACATCTTAAGGCAAATTCCTGTCTTATTTGAATCACAGAATCACAGAATGGCCTGGGTTGCAAAGGACCACTATGATCATTTCATTTCAACTCCCCTGCTATGTGCAGGGTCTCCAACCAGCAGACCAGGCTGCCCAGAACCATATCCAGCCTGGCCTTGAATGCCTGCAGGGATGGGGCATCCACAACCTGAATCTATCTGAGAATACTTGCTCTTTGTTCCATAGTGTTCACGCTACAAAATCTCTTAATCTCTCAAATCTACACAGTCTGTGATTCTGTGATTCTTCCAGACCAATTTTTTTAATCTTGTGTCACGCATCCAGAAGTGCAAACATAGAATCATAGAATCACAAAATTGCTCAGCTTGGATAAGACCCTCAAAGATCATCGAATCCAACCACAACCTAACCATCCTACCCTAACTCTAACAACCTTCCGCTAAATCACAGCCCTGAGCACCACATCCAAATGGTTTTTAAACACAGCCAGGGATGGTGACTCAACCACCTCCCTGGGCAGCCTATTCCGGTGCTTAACAACCCTTTCTGAAAAGAAGTTTTTCCTGTTATCCATCCTAAACTTACCTTGGTGCAACTTCAGGCCATGTGATGTCAGGTCATAACTTTGCTTATCATTAAATATTTTTTTTCAGACTCTATTATGAGATTCGATCTTATCACTTTTAGTATCCTGTGCTTGGCTCCTATTTTATTTAGTTTTATTTCACAGTGCACACACACCAATAAAGGCTATTTCTATACAGAATTGCTTATATATATTCTGAATACATCTCAGGGGCTCTGAAATGAGGTAATTAGCACATGTAAAGCCATCCTTTTGCAAACTAACTTTCTCAGGCAGGGCCAGCAATGTGAGCAGCACCTTCTATCTCCTTCTCGCGGCTCCCAGGCTTGCACATCTCCCCTGTTAACCAAGCCCTTTACAACTGGAGGTGAGCAGTAGATCAACTGGGCACTGTGGGAGCCCTGCCAGATTAATTTGGCCTGCTGCCTGTTGTTCAATCTGGAGTCGTTGAAGGCCTGGGTTTCCCTGGGACCGTGCTGCCAAATACTCCATATGGGATGCCCAGAAATATAGCCTCGTGTTGGGGAGATTTAGGTCTCCGGCGTCTCAATGGGGCCATACGTTTGTAACAGCAATCCTTGTTTCTACCTTCCAAATGAACCTTGAAAATGCCTCGCCGACCTTATTGAGGAACGAGGCTTTAAATCATCTGACGTGGCTGTGGTTGACACAGGCCGCAGAGGAAGGCGTTCATTTTGAAGAACCACATTTCTTATCCATTTCTTTCTGGCAACGCACGGTGAGCAGCGTACGGGAAGCTTTGCGAGCATCCTTTTAACGGCATCAGGATAAAGGGATATGAGATTTTTCAGTGGCCTTATCCTCAGAACCGCTTCATAACCGAGAACCATTTATAGACGTTGGTCATTTCCGTACTTAGACACACCGCTGGCTGAAAGCGCAGCTTTGCCTTTAAAGCCTCTCAGAGAGGCGCAGCGCGCAGCTCCGCCCCGCGGCTCTGACTGACGGCTCTGACTGACGGCCGCCCTTCCCGCCACCGCCTCCTCAGCCTCGCGGCGCATGCGCAGAGGGGTGGGTAGCACCTGCGCGAGCGGCGCGGCCCCGTCTGCGCCTGCGCGGCCGTCGCTCCCACGTGACCCGGCGCCGCTCCTCCTTCCTGCGGCGCGGCCATGGCGGCGGGGGAGGTGGCGACGGCGGGGTCCGCGGAGCAGTTCCAGCGGCTGCTGCAGCAGAAGGAGCGGTGAGGCCCGGCTGGGTTGCGGGGTGGCGTCCTGCGGGCTGAGGGAGCGGGAAGCTCGGCGGATAGGTGGGTGGAGCGGCGGGCGCTGAGGTGCGGCCTCGGGGTGGGGGGGGAGAGACGTGAGGCCTCAATAGGCCTCGGGCTGGGCGTGCTGGCAGGGTGCTGTGTGAGCCGTCCTTCCTAAATGGAGTGGTGTGTGTCTGGATGGGGGCTGTGAGAAAGGAGGGGACAGGCAATTCATCGGGGTCTGCTGCGGTAGGGCATGGGGAAATGGTTTAAAATGTAAGGGGGGATGTTTAGGCTGGGCGTGAAGAAAAAGCCTCGCTTGTGGGAGGTGAAATGCACAAGCTGTGCTCAGTCATGGAGTGGCACAAAGGTGCTGGAGGACCTGGTAGCTGTGGCAGGCAGCCCAGCTGCTCCCAAGCTTGCCTTTCAGCTTGCAGGGCTGGTAGAATATATCCCATTATATATCGTGTTGTATTGCTACCAAGGTTTCCTAGAATTGCTTTGGAAAATCAGGTTTTTGATGTCAGTGGTTCTGCATCTGAGTGGCTCTTAGCTGTGTATTCGGAGTATGTGCTCAGGTAATGTGGCTTCTGTCCCTGTACCAATGTTGTGCTGCATGCAAGACTATGGAAATTTAGAGTGAGCTTCCGTTATTTGGTGGAGAAAGATACTAAGTGGCTTCTAGGGCATCAATTTGATGATTCTTGTATCCAGGTAGATTAAAAATAGTACATCTTTGTATTCTTTATCTCCTATTATCTGGGGTATTTGACTTAGGGCAACAGAGTTGAAACCAACAGTGTTGAAAATGAAATGCAAATAACTTGTCTCAGTCATCAGAGCCTGTTGGGTTAAGCTCATGAGAAGTAGTGGCACGTGGTACCTGATTTGATGGGATCTGTGTTCACACACCTGACTAACCTTTAAATGCTGTGCTTGATTGATACCAAAGAGTGGATGGGAAGCTGCACGTGAGCCACTCCTGTGCCGTCACAGCCCAGGAAGCCAATTGTGTCCTGGGCTGCATCAAAAGAAGAGTGGTCAGCAGGTCAGGGAGGTGAACTTGCTTGTCTGTTCTGTGCTGTTGGGTCCTCACCTGGAGCACTGTGTCCACATGTGGAGCTCTGATGGAGCTGTGGGTGTCCCTGTGCATTGCAGGGGATGAGACCAGATGGCCTTTGGAGGTCCCTTTCAAATCAAACCATTCAGTGGCAGTTTTGAGTTGGAAGGCTTAGGTGCTGGTCCTTCAGTACAGTGTGTTGGCTTTGGCTGTTGGAGTTGCTGTCTGATAGTGGGAAAGATGAACAGGGCTTTGGGAGCCTTCCTGAAGGACAGGTTTGGTGATGTGTTTCACTTGTTCTGTGGAGGCAGAGGTGTGGTGGCTGTTGTAACATCTTTAATTCATTGCTTGTCTGTATCTAAGTGGATTTGGTGTGGTGTGTTAAAAGAAGTTGCTGTGTCAATAGCATTCCTATGCCATTTAGCTGCTGAATTATCGGCAGCCTTTAAACATGGAAGGAGAGAAAACTGAAGAAATTGCTGGTGTAGGATAATGAAGTTACCAGCCTCAGGTTCTTAATGATAGCTTAAAGAAACGTTAAGAAGCTTTGATTATTTTAGGAGGAAGTTTTTCACACAGAGGTTGGTGAGGCACTGGAACAGGTTGCCCAAGGAGGTTGTGGATGCCCCATTTCTGGAGGCATTCAAGGCTGGGCTGGATGTGGCTTTGGGCAGCCTGGTCTGGTGATTGGTGACCCTGAACGCAGCAGGGGGTTGAAACGAGGTGATCATTGTGGTCCTTTGGAACCCAGGCCATTCTATGATTATTGGAGGAAGAAAGGAGAGTCTTTGAAACTTGATGAGCAACTTCCAATTCTTTCTGGAATTACCCTTCAGTGGAGTGGCTGAGTGGGGATGAGGAAGGGAATTCTACTCTCACACACACACATGCTGCTATGTGTTACACAACCTGAAATGAAAATATTTTCAGGAGCAAATTCAATACTTTGAAGTTATTCTCAGCAGCAAACAACAAACAAAACACCAGTAGTTCTGTCATTTCTTACATCCCTGGAACTTAGGTCAGTTTCCTCTTTAATAG